TCTGGGTCTTTTGGTTTTCAGTTGGCTGTGTATTGTCCAATCACTGTCTTACGATGTTGTTTGTTCTGTAGCTTCTTTGGGTCCCAGAAATGCGCTATATAAGTTTCATGTTTTTATTATAATGATTATTAGTGACCTGGTTGTACTTTGAGGATTACCGTGTGTGCGTGTGCGTAAAGGGGTGGGATGCTGTCATTTCTGTCTAAAAATAGTTTGTTTACCCAAATTGTAATGCAACCTAATTCAAATGAATTTTCCTCTGGTATAATTATGCGTGAGAATATAACACGAGCGTCTGATGTGTCTGATGAATATTTCAGTGCTTGTCAGTGTGTGTTTGTGTGTGTGTGTGTGTGTGTGTGTGTGTGTGTGTGTGTGTGTGTGTGTGTCAAATGTTACCCCAGAGTATAGGCACAATTCCACCATGCACCAGAGAGGGGTTTTACAACACACACTTGTTCACATGCACTCATACTAAGTTAATGCCCATTTAAGTGAATAGGTAACTATACATATTTGTTTTGCCTGATTAATCCTTTGCACTAGCTCCACGTTCTGAAGGTGCTGTTTACCACTTGCCCAATTGCTACCCTATAGTCTATTATTTATTTGTTATTCCCCTCCAACAAACACAGAGCCTTATGCAGGTTCTATAACGGCTCTAATTTGTTAACATTTTAAAACCGTGCTCTATGACTGGACTGGGGTGTGACGTCAGGAACCACATATCATTCTATCTCGTGTTGCGAGTCCAGATCACAGAATGCCTAGTCATGGGTTTCTTAATGAGACCATGAGCTTTGGCCTACTTTAGCAGGTTACGACCAGTGCATTTAAATGTTTATTTTGGTCGATTAGCAGACGCTGTCATTTAGAAAGACTCAGTGTTGAGAGATAGTGAGGGGCATTTGTTCTCACTGCCCCGCAGCATAGCACCATGGTCTGAAAATGGTTGTCCGCTTTAACTGGACAGTGGAGTGACTGCAGTAGCCGGGTGACATGGGAGAACATGGGAAGGTTGAACATCAGGTGGACAGTCTGCGGCCTTCATCTGCAGGTGTTTTGATGAAGATCAAATCCAATTACCAGGTGCTCTGTACAATAGCTAACTGTGACGGTGGTTTCCACTGTCTTTTGTTTTTGTGGCACACCTATATCACACCTGGTGGTTCTAAACGTCTTTACCAACCTACATCGTCCTAATTGTCCCCCTTTTTTCAGTGTTGGACCGCCAGGGCTGTGACCCCAACACGCGCTTTGTGGTGCCGCCCCGGACCGGCCAGTGGGTGGCGCTGTTGCAGCGGGGCAACTGCACCTTCAAGGAGAAGATCCTCAAGGCCTCCGCCTTCAATGCCTCTGCCGTGCTCATCTACAACAACAACTCCAGGGAAAACACCGTCAAGATGGGTCACGAAGGTGAGGACACAAGCTGTAAACGCGCTGTAGATCTCTTGGCTAATGTTTCAAAGACGTCAACTGTCCCTTTATTGTCAATATCAACAGATGTACTTGCATATCAGCGGGATCGGTTTAGTCCTTACAGGGTGTTCAGAAGGCTTAGCATTTTGGGTACAACTGCAAATGTGGAAACAAATTCCATCATTGATTAGTTTGGTCTGCGAGGTATTGGGGCAGCTCCGTAGTCTAAAAAGTCAAGTCAATCAAATCCATGATGAAAATTGACGATTATTGCTGCCCTACTTTTCCTAGTGTTTTTCAATTGTTTAAATGCCTTATTTAAATGGCTTGTGTGCTGGGTCGTAGTCCGTTTATATACACTTCAGAAAGAAAACCCAGTTCCAATCCAAAATGTTCTAAAATAAGCTTTTTGAAAAGAGACTTTAATATGGAATTTCAGTATGATTCCTGAGTTGCGTAGAACTGAACTCGATTGGGCCATTTAAAATGTTTTGTTTTTTAGGCTGTATCTGCCTTGTTCACACAGGTTATGCCTTGTTTAGAATGTATCCTGTGTTTCGGTAAGATGCAGGCTACATCATGTTTTAGGCTGTGTTTCTGTCTGTCATATCGACACGTTCAGGATAGATGGGCGGGTCGTTGTGATGTAGTCTCCGGCCCCCAGACACAAGGGCACACTGATCTAGCCTAATTTAAACTAGACAAGACCACCAGGGCACACTGATCTAGCCTTATTTAAACTAGACTTGAGTGACACATCAGATACAGGGTCTGAGGAGGCGGTGCAGAGTGAATGAGACAGACGGACAGAGGAAGGTGTAGATAAAGAATGTATCATAAGGTATGACGGGTATCTCCTGTTCTGGGTGAAATCGATGGGCTTTTATAAATATAGAAGTGGGTTCCATTACTTATTCATGAGGTCATTTTCTACCACGCACGAACAACGGAATTCTGATAGTTCCCTCGAGTGAAAACCTTTCGGTATCGATCGATGTTTTCCTGAACTGCACGTCATTTATCATGGGTGGCAGTTATTTCATGATACAGACCGGGTGGGTTGAGCCTTGACGGGTGATAGACTGTGGTTTATCGCTGATCACGGCTGGGTGTTATTTAACGATATCTTAATGTATGCCAGATGCATGGATTGACTTGGGAGGGAGGAAGTACACAACACATGGGCGTGATGTGTGCGTGCGCGTGTGCACGTGTATGTTTGTGTGTGTGTAGTGTGTACGTATGTTTGTGTGTGTACGTATGTGTGTGTGGGTGCGTATGTTTGTGTGGGTGCGTATGTTTGTGTGGGTGCGTATGTTTGTGTGGGTGCGTATGTTTGTGTGTGCACGTATGTTTGTGTGTGCGTGTGCGTGTGCATGTGTCCGCAAGGCAATATTGTGACACTGAAGCAGAGGAATGAGAACATTCCAGAGATGACAGATGATGCGGACGTTCTGGCGCGGACGTTCTGGCGCGGACGTTCTGGCGCAGACGCACTCTGTGTGTCAGTGTTCATAAACATGCCTCTGGTCTCCATAGTGAATGAGGAGGGCTGAGACGAGGAGTGAGTGACTCAAGTAGAAAATGTGTCCAAATTCCTAACTTCTTAGCTCCTTTCACTCTCCCGATTCGGTTTGGCCAACGGCTACAAATACTTAAAGCACTGTTGACCAATAACCTTCAAATGTCTTTTACAAGTGCTGATCTATTTCCCACAGCAGGCGATCCATTAATTCATCCTGATACCAGTTCTGCTTTTCTGGAGTCCAAAGATCAAGCACATCTTTCCTAGTATAACTTGTCTGTCCTTTCTTTCTCTAAAATGCCTCTCCATAATAATATGGTGCCTCACAAGGGACCTGAACCTCCTCACTCTGCTTCTGTGTGTAATTGCCCCCAAAATAAACACCTCTCCCAAAAGGACAACTATATTTCGTGTGATATTCGGGTTGTGGTCCCTTAATATCCCAACGATTCAATCTGCAGATGAAACGGCACCCTTCGACTGTGTGGTGAACTTGACTGCAGAAACTAGCTACGGACAACAATACTGCGACCTGCACAGACTAGACTCCCAGTGTTGAACATTGCTTTTGTAGCCAGTACTCAATATAATAGCTTAAATTGAAAGGCTGAAAATGTCATTCTGTCCAATGGATTTGGTTTGAGTCTCAGCGTAATGTAATTAGACCAGAATGCTAGACCAGAGAGCACCCGGGATGCTTACACCTTGATAACATGAGCACACACGAGTACGTATAAACACACACACACACAGATATAAGCACGTAGGTGCTGCCTGACCATATTAGTGTAACAAACAGGTGAAGGTCACATTATTATCCCCCTACTAGTTTTTAGTGGACAGATGATCCAGAGAGAAAGGACCGGAGAACATACAGAGATGACAAACAACAAAGACAGACAGACCTACAGACAATCCAGAGAGAAAGGACCGGAGAACATACAGAGATGACAAACAACAAAGACAGACAGACCTACAGACAATCCAGAGAGAAAGGACCGAAGAACATACAGAGATGACAAACAACAAAGACAGACAGACCTACAGACAATCCAGAGAGAAAGGACCGGAGAACATACAGAGATGACAAACAACAAAGACAGACAGACAGATAATCCAGAGAGAAAGGACCGGAGAACATACAGAGACGACAAACAACAAAGACAGACAGACAGACAGATAATCCAGAGAGAAAGGACCGGAGAACATACAGAGACGACAAACAACAAAGGCAGACAGACCTACAGACAATCCAGAGAGAAAGGACCGGAGAACATACAGAGATGACAAACCACAAAGACAGACAGACCTACAGACAATCCAGAGAGAAAGGACCGGAGAACATACAGAGACGACAAACAACAATGACAGACAGACAGACAGATAATCCAGAGAGAAAGCACCGGAGAACATACAGAGACGACAAACATCACAGACAGACAGACAGATAATCCAGAGAGAAAGGACCGGAGAACATAGAGACGACAAACAACAATGACAGACAGACAGACGGATAATCCAGAGAGAAAGGACCGGAGAACATACAGAGACGACAAACATCACAGACAGACAGACAGATAATCCAGAGAGAAAGGACCGGAGAACATACAGAGACGACAAACAACAAAGACAGACAGATAATCCAGAGAGAAAGGACCGGAGAACATATGGAGAAGACAACACGGCAGGCTGTCCACATGAATCCAGAATAACGCATTTCAAATAAGATGAGCAGACAAACAGCAATGACAGACAGACAGACAGATAATCCAGAAAGAGAAGCACGAGAGACAGGACAAACATCACAGACAGAAGATAATCAAAGAATATCAACAGGCAAAATGACATGCAGGCAAACTGACAGACAGTGGAACCAGAGAGAAAGGACTGGAGAAAACAACAAAGACAGACAGATAATGCAGAGAGAAAGGACCGGAGAACATATGGAGAAGACAACACGGCAGGCTGTCCACATGAATCCAGAATAACGCATTTCAAATAAGTTATACATTGATTTGCATTTTACTCGTCCCCTGTCAATACTCCTTTTGGAGGAGTTGGTGTAGCTTAGTGGTAGAGTGCACGCGTTGTATGTATGATGTCCTGGGTTCAATCCCCAGCTTCTCCCCAGTTCGCCAGAATTTGTTCTCAATCGGCCTACCTGGTTTATTAAAGGTTAAATAAAAAAATATTCAGGTAACAAACTCTCTTAAAGGGAAGATAGAGGGACGCATGGATAAATGCATAGAGGGACGCATGGATAAATGCATAGATAGAGGGACGCATGGATAAATGCATAGGTAGAGGGGCGCATGGATAAATGCATAGATAGAGGGGCGCATGGATAAATGCATAGATAGAGGGGCGCATGGATAAATGCATGGATAAATGCATAGATAGAGGGATAAATGCGCATGGATAAATGCATAGGTAGAGGGGGATAAATGCATAGATAGAGGCGCATGGATAAATGCATAGATAGAGGGGCGCATGGATAAATGCATAGATAGAGGGGCGCATGGATAAATGCATAGATAGAGGGGCGCATGGATAAATGCATAGATAGAGGGGCGCATGGATAAATGCATAGATAGAGGGGCGCATGGATAAATGCATAGATAGAGGGGCGCATGGATAAATGCATAGATAGAGGGGCGCATGGATAAATGCATAGGATATAATGCATAGATAGAGGGCGCATGGATAAATGCATAGATAGAGGGACGCATGGATAAATGCATAGATAGAGGGGGACGCATGGATAAATGCATAGATAGAGGGACGCATGGATAAATGCATAGATAGAGGGGCGCATGGATAAATGCATAGGTGGATAAATGATAGGGGCGCATGGATAAATGCATAGATAGAGGGGCGCATGGATAAATGCATAAATGCATAGATAGGCATAGGGGGGGCGCATGGATAAATGCATAGATAGATGGATAAATGCATAGGTAGAGGGGCGCATGGATAAATGCATAGATAGAGGGGCGCATGGATAAATGCATAGATAGAGGGGCGCATGGATAAATGCATAGAGGAGTTGATGTTAGAGACATTGGGAAATAAAGCAATACAGTGATAGAATGATGGATGGATGAAGAGAGTGAGAGAAAGATAGATAAATGGAGGGATAAATAGTTAGATAAATCCATAAATAGAGGAATAGATGGTAATGATAGGACAGGACTGGACAGGTACATAACATGACTACTGCCTGAGTCATCAGTGGAAAAGCCCTTTGTTTATTCCACTGGTGTGTGTGTGTGTGCGTGCGTGCGTATGTTGCTCCTAACACACACACGTTCTATTATCACAATGTATATTCCCCTGAGCACAAAGTAAATTAGTCTCTTATCAACACTTACCATTAGGTTGCCCTTATGTCATCAATTTATTCCAGTAATACATTTGGCAACTGAAACGTTTCTCTCAGTTGTGATTTATCAGTAGTTATATTTTTCGAAGGAACACCTGCAGATTCTCAGAAACACACACACACACACACACACATGTTTTATGCTCACACCTGTTCTCTGCTGCATTCCTGCAATAGCTCTTTCACAAACACATCCACGTACAGACCTTTGGCATGCGGCGCCGAAGTTAATAAGTCAGTCTGTGTCACGGCTGACATCCCTCCAGGGCTACGCATTGGCTGTTCACTCATTGGCTGGGGTTATGGTGAACTTAGCTTAGCATAGCGTGGCCTCATAAAGCTAATGATTAATTGCTTTGGCCTATGGTTTGGTCGGCCCATTGTTTTGGCGGTCCGTGATTTCCCATCGATCCCATGGGCAACGGAGCGCAGCGGAAAGGCAGCTGAACTTCACGGGTGATGATCTTGTCTGGGTGAACAGGGTGTGTGTGTGTGTGTGTGTGTGTGTGTGTGTGTGTGTGTGTGTGTGTGTGTGTGTGACACAAGTTCGGGTTTATTCACTTCAGCGTTTTTATTGTGTTTGTGTAAACTTTGTAATCCAATTACCAGTAGGTTGGGTTTAGATGTCTTTCTGTGTGTTTGTAAACAGGAACAGTCAGTGAAAATGGGTGTTCTGTTGTTTTTTGCAGAAGTCAGCCGTAAATTAGTTTATCGGTCACCGCAGAGCTTAACCCCAAGATAACCACTAAAATGAGACAGTTGTTTTTGGTGGTGAGACAAACTGTTGTTCTGTGTATGGACACCCTTCAATTTGTGACCGTAAGAGCTGTGTTTGGGTGCGGTTGAGTTAGTTTGTGGTCAGTTGTCTCATGTCATTCGATGTCTAGTCTACTTCAGAGACAGTTGCTGGAACTGAGTGAACTTCACAGACCTGGACGATGCAGACATCATGTTTTCTCACTATAGCTTTTCCAGTTCAGGGTGATGCATGATTTTTTTGAGATAGAGAGAGAAAGAGTGAGAGAGACAGGTCTTCGCAGACTGGTCAGGCAAACCAGAGAGGAAAGGCTGTGTTTATTCTGCCAACAGAACAAAATTGAAACTGAAACACACTTTCTCCTGGAGTGTAATAATTATGCAGACCTGTGGGAAACTTTCATAAAACAAACATGGAGAATTTGGAACGGGGACTGAAATCCTAAAATGACAATACCTATTGGGTGAGAACAACCATGTTGAAATCTATGGCGTAACATATGTTGCAGCATGTCTTAACCGTAGGGACGTCCAGTTGGCTCAACGACTTCCAATAAACGGACACACTCAAACCACACACATACATCACACACCTAGATACACAACAGCCGTATGTAATGTTTAGTATGTAATACATTCATATTTTCTTTGAACATATTTTTGATTAAGAAAATGGTATGAACTTCATTATAATAATAATCATTTTTATTTTTGTTTACATTGTAAAATGCTTTGGCAATATTGTTCAGTTGTAACATTCATGCCAATAAAGCCCTTGAGTCACAATAATGGAGAATGACAGAAATAACCCTGCCCCCTCCACACACACTGCACACAGCACACTGCACACAGCACACTGCACACAGCACACTGCACACTCTTAGCTACTATTAGTGGTAACTCAGGCTGTGGTTAATGTCCACAGGGACCAAATGAGTGGTCTCCAGTAGTAACATGATTCCCTCTGGCCTGTAGCAGTCAGCTGTCTGGTCCTCACTATCACTGTCTCAAATGGACATGAGGATGATGATGGTGAGCTGGGCTTGCTGGGCTTTTACACAGCAGTTTACACAAACAAATGGTTGCACTTATGGCGTTGAGTTCACTCAGCAACGTCTACTGCAGCTCGTATGTTCCTCACAGTGCGTCCAGCCGATACTCAAACCTATCTAGTTTTTAAACCCAGACAAACACGACGAAAGTGACGTTGTTTCTTTCAGTTACCTTGAAACCATCGCTTGGTCGTTTGCAGGAGCAATTAATTAATGTACATTTGGCGTTTGCGCAATTGGAAGTGTGAAATATATTTGCAATGTTTGCCAACTATGGGACTGTGTATCGTGTCCCGGGTTTTTGAATTCAATCTGTAGTATGTTGTCGAGACTCGCAAATGTCTTCTTGAAGGACAATGTTCACATAAGACCTCTTTCCAGTGCTGCTTGGAGGGTTTCTGCAGCGGCCCAGGCTGATGGTGACTACAGGGTGGGAAGTTTTGTGGTCGGTGTTAAGGGGAATCTCTCCAGTCAACGGGGATTACAGCCAGGGCCAAATGAAGGGAGTGTAGCCAGGAGCAGGTTGGTCATGTCAAAGGCTTTGTGAAATGGGAGATCTTATTATTGCCTGCAAATGCAGTGTATTTTTGCAATTATATGCGAAAGAGTAGAAAGTTCCAAAAGTCTGTTAGGAAGTCTACTCCACTGGCTAATGCTATCTGCTAGTCACACTGTGTAGCTCAGCTTGTAGATGCCTGCATCATCAGGGCTGTGGTTTAGATTCCCACGGTTGGCCAATAGAAATGCCTGTTCACTTATTATTGTAAGTCACATTCAGCATTAGAGCATCTGTTAAATGGATGAGGGCATAGTCAGTTAACGAATACATATATTTAGTCTCAACTTTAGTTTGGCCATGTGGCGGCCTTCAGATAGAGACCAGAGACAAACGGATCTGACGTCAGAGACACGGTATTTCCAGTATTCATACGGGACGTTATTCACATATTGTATTCACAAACTGATCTGACGTCAGAGACACGCTATTTCCAGTATTCATTCATGGACGTTATTCACATCACATCGTATTCACAAACTGTTCAGATGTCACATTTCCTCTCACCATACACCGTTGACTCCCGCCACTGTCCGCTTGTTCAATTGTTCAGATTCCTGTATTAATAAATGTGCCGCTAGTGACGTTGAGTTAAGCTGAGGACAGCGAATTACCAATCTTATTTCCTTGGCACTGCCCATTGGAACTGCCTGGGGATGCCATGCTAATCGTTCAGGAATGCCATCATCATGGTGTTACGGATCTGGCATTTGATTGCTGGTTCGGTATAAATGCTGGTAGGACAGTAATTGAGTACTTTAGAAGGTTTCCTGGATTTCCATCGATATAGTGGGTCAGGAGTGACAGTGACTGCTTTAATCATCTGGAATTATCAGAGAACGATGTAGCCTCGACGCTAACTGTCCCTCAAACCCTTCCAGGTACGGGCAGCACCGTGGCGGTGATGATCAATGAGTCATACGGCAAGGAGATCCTGAGCCTGTTGGAGAGGAACCTGACCGTGCTGGTCAGCGTGGTGGTTGGTCAACGCAACCAGGCCAAGAACAACAACCGTGGTTCGCTGGTCTTCGTCTCCATCTCCTTCATTGTCCTCATGATCATCTCCTCGGCATGGCTCATCTTCTACTTCATCCAGAAGATCCGCTTCACCAACGCCCGTGACCGCAGCCAGGTAGGACTGTTTAGTTTTGTCGTTCTTTTCACAATCTGCGAGTCAGTTGATGTTCACGTGTTCATATAGTCCTTACTTGAAGTCCACACTGCTACATTTGAATGGTTTTATTACAGGCAGGTACTATCTAACTTACAGACTCTAACAGACTATATTTAATAACACAAAATCTGAGACGAGTTTAGTTAATTGAAGTCACAAAGTCATTTCACAAGCTGCAAAGATTTAAGTATCACCGTGCCGGTGTATG